TTTAGAAGTACTAGATTAGACAGGATCCAAGAAAAATTTAACAGATATTGGGAAATTATACAGTGAAATAACCAAAAGCTTGGTAGAGCAAAAAAAATTTCCAATTTTTTTGCATGGTGTGGGCCTAAAATGGAGGGAGAGGGCATGGATGGAATAATACAATTTGTTAAGAGGTAAACTTGGAAGAATAGAATTATTTAATAAAATAGTGTCTTTAAATCACATGACTAATAGGTGAAAGGATACTTCGCAAGGTAGGAGGACACTTGGCAACCTAAAGGGACATGTGGTATGATCTTGTGATAAATGGTCAGATCAAGAGTCAAGTAACCATAGAATTCTAATGTTTCCCTAAGGGAAGAAATAGGAATCTAAGGCAAAAATTTGTCTATAAATAACCCCTTTAATTCATTTAATTTGAAAATATAGACAAACTTGGGAGAGGAGGTTTTACTCTTGGAACCTTAAAATGGAAGAAGAAAAAGAAGAGAAGAAGATTAAGTTATCATCAAGCAAGCATCCAAAGAAAGTAAATTTTAATTTACCTTAATTAGTGCATGATTTGTAATTAATTTGGATGGTCAGAAATGGATAAAATCCTAAGAAAAACTTATTGCCCAAAATATCAACTAATGAGATATGAATGATTCAAGAATAGTATATGGATTAGAAGATAAAAAAAAATGGTTGGAAAATAGTGTTTTAACATAATTTATGGAAAAATTCCAACTTGTGACATTATTGTATACCATTTAGCCAAGTAGGGATTATGGGGTTAGAGTTTGATTGTTGTTAATTCAATGCTTTCAATGAGTTTAAATGGTGAAATTGTGTAGAGCTAAGTGGAGAAAAATGTGTTTGGAATAATTAGAATTGAAAATGAAATTTTTGAAATCTTAACTCTATGTTTCAGCCAAGTGTAGTTTGATGGGAAGGAATTGGATTTGATAAAACTAAGTTCAAATATGTATTCTACATTGAAAATCATGTAGGAAAATCCTAAGAGAATTATGTTAAAGAAGATGATGCAAAAACCTTAAAATCAAGGATTAAGGGCTAGGGTTTTAAGTTAGGTGTTTGATAGAATTGTTTGAGTAAAGTACAATGTCCTTATTGTGTGATTGATAGGCGTTGAATTTGAGTAATAGGAGGCTTAATAACAAGCTAAGGGGATTAAGGGGGGAGGGGAGGGGAGGGGATAAGTGTGTTTGGTTGGGGCAAATAGTGGGGAGGGGAGGCAAGAAATTTTTCTTTTAGTGCTCTCCTCCTCCTCATGCTCCCCTCCAAATTTGGGGCTTTTTTGGAGGGCAGAGAAATATTATGTCTAATGTTGACCAAACCACTCATACTAACTTTTCAATATTCCAAGTTTGTCCATCTTATTAAAAATCTTTTTTTTTCCACTTCTTTCTCTTTTTAGCCACTAATAATATTTGATAATGATAATATAATATTATAATTATATAATATATACAAATCATATATATTAATATATGCATATCATAATATATGTGTATTATAATTATATATCATAGCGTGTGTGTATTATAATCTCAGACAACATGCATATATATTAATATATACATATCATAATGTGCGTGTTATAATTTTTTGTAGTTTTATCATTTTTTTTATCACATGTAAGTGAGGTAATTGGTTTTTTTTAATTGATAAATTAAGAAATAATAATTTTGATATAAATATTGTAATAAAAAAAATAAATCAGCCTAAATATAGAGATAACGGCATATTTGTCAATTTATAATTACCTCCCCTCCCCTCCTCTTATGAACAAAACAAGAAATCTCTCCTCCCTTTCCCTCCCCTCCAACCAAACAAAGCTATGACCTCCCTTTTCCTCCTCTCCCCTTCCTTTAATTAACTTCCCCTCCCCTCCCCTCCATTGAACCAAACAAAGCCTAAAACCTGATAAGAGGTTGCAAGAATTTACAATTTTAGTATTACATTGTATTGGTTGTTTTTGCTATATATGATATGCCATGATGTGGTTGCCTTTATGTATGATGAAATATGTATAGTTGAGTTGTTAATGAGATGATGTTATGCTTCCTTTCCATGGCATGAAAATGTGAACAGATATGTAAGAAAATTTGATTATGTATCGCATGAATAACCTTGTATTATTAATACTATAATTGTTGTTCTATTCTACTGGGATTTCTTTGAAATCTCACCCTTTTTGATATACAATTGACATTACTAGGAGATGGCTCATCAAGGGAGGAAAAAAATGGAAGCTTGAGAGGGAATTTGCATAAATGTTGTATAATTCTATGTGTTTTGTATAATGAGATAAATGGATTATGCAATGTATGCATATTATGTTGGATACTTGTATGGAAGGTGGCTTCCACCTCTTGGGAGGTATTATGCTATATTATCCATGATGGTATGAACGGTTTTTGGTAAAAATGGAAGCTAGGAATCAAATTTCATAAGTTAATAAAACCCTAACTTTGAGGCTGGGACTTTTATAACCAAATGATGAAATCCAGCTGCAAAATTTCGTGGACTTAGAGATCACATTTTAAGCTTCAAATGAAGTGATAGATTACCTGAATTAGAATTTTACACAAAAGGATATGAATATTTGAAGTTAAGGCAAAAAGCTGAAACATAAAAATTGACCAAATGAATAGTGATTTTTAGAAACAAAATGGAGCTCAAATGGATTCAGTAATTGATCTATGAGTACTTTTACTCCATAGAGAAATGAATGAGCTTCAAATAGATCTTGAAACCATCTTATTTTGATTTTTTCACAATTAATTATGAATTTTTAAAGTTGACAATATTTTTAGGGCTACCAAATGAATAGTAACCCAAGAAAGTGATTCCTCCGATTTTAGCGGTTTCAGATTCCATGTTAGGTATTGCTCTTTATTACGTCCTCGCATAAACATCAAAACATTTCTGTGCCATAATGGAGATAAATTTTTCCATTTAAATGATGAGTGATCATTGTTTGAGAGAAGGAATCGCATGTTGAGATAACCCTATTGGGTTCGATGTTTTAGACTGTGAACTACCTCCATATTCGGCCATCCTGGTTGAGCCTTCCGCACTTTCTAACGGATTCTAGGTAGAATTGTTGTCGGCAATGAAGACTCTAGATGATCCGATCTGCATCCTTGAATGAATAGCCTTGACTCTAATACCTTGATAGTTTTTAGACGCATGAGTATATTATTATTCCACTATAAAAGTTGATACATGTGGGCGAAGAGTATGTGCAGAAATCACACATGATTTCTCTCAATAAATACAACAAATATGGAAATATTCTTATTTGAAATCCCTAAATAAAAAACTGAAGATAATGCTAATGAAGAAGGCATAATATAACACCTCACGAAAATTTCCACCAAGCATAACAATTATTTAATGCATAACAACGATGTAAAAGGAGCAAGATAACATTATACATGATACATCATATCGTGGTTATAAAAAGTTTCTTCTACCTCGAACTGGATTATGGATTATAATATGGCAATGTCATGAGTAGAATTGCTACTTCACTTTTAAAATAAAATAATATCACCTCCTGTCGTTAATATAAGAGGAAGATAATTAATTTGCAGATATTAAATAATTTTTTTTAGTTGAAAAAAATTAGTTAAATTAATTATTTGTAATAAATAAATGTTATTTTTCTTAAAATATCCTTTGTTAATTATGTATATTGGAATTATTCTTCATAAAAACCCTTTAGCACAAGGACTAATAGGGGGGGAAAGGATAAATAATGAAGACAATAATAGATTAAAGTCTTATATTTATGACACAATTGAATTTTCAACTAGCTTTTATATTAATAACCAGAGGTAGCATAAATTAACTAAATGATCAAGACAAGCATGTGTGGCAAAGCCATGTTTGATGAACAAAAATCGAATCGAACTAGCAATGATTTAATTTAGTTTAAGAGTTGGACTGGTCAAAATTTAAACTGATATCAACTTGGTAAAGCCGAGCTGACCCGATAAAAACCAATATGAATTAGTGAAGAACTGGTTTAGATGATTATATTGCTATTGGTTCTATTTTTCCTTATTCATCTCCTAATATCTTAGTTACTATAGGTTTAAATGAATTTTAATGATGATTTTGGTATTAATGATTATTAGTTTTAGCTATTAAGCAATCGTAAAGATAAATATTCTCAATATTATTATACTTTGTTATTGTTACCATTAAACTATTGTTGTATTTTCCTGTATTTTATTATTATCAATGTTATTGTATTTTTTATTTTTAATTAAATTATATTATTTTAATATTGACCGATTTGACCCCAAGTTGGCCCTGATCTGACCTACTAACTCTTGAACTACTATCTCGACCAGTTTAAAGTCCGATTCAGTTTTTTTGTTCCTTAGCCATGTTGGCACAAGTGAGTTAAAAATTAAAAAAGCTTAATAGTTAAAATTAACTTTTCTAATGTGAGTGATATTATTATGCTTTAAATACTTTTAGGGTGACATAGCATTAAAAAAATAAAAAAATAAAACTTTTTCAATAAAATGCTGGACCTTAATATTAAAAAATTATCATATACTACTAATTTGCATAAATTTGCCATTTATACTACTTTCAATTCTTAATATAAAAGTTAATTGACTAATTTACGTAGATTAAGAAAACTAATTTAGTTATTTGTAATAAATATATATTTTCTTTCCTAAAATATTCTTACTAAATAAGTATATTGGCCAGAAATACTATTCTTATAAGAATTATTTTGAAAAAAAATAGATAAATACGAGAGATAAAATAGATTGGAATCGTATATTTAATATCATAATTCAAGTCAAATGAATTTTTATATTGAGGGTAGGAGGTAGTAATTTATAATAATAATAAGAAAAACAGCATTAATGTATAATGATGGGATAATCGGACTTTTGGCGTTAGCTTTCTTCCTGTGCCTATGGATATATGTCGGTCAGTCTGAGACCTTCAATTTTGTGATGCCCTTCCAAACAGAGCCAATGCAGCAACTCAGAAGCAGTCCCCTGCTGATGTTTCTTTTTCTGCTCGCATTACTGCACTATGTGGAACTCAAGGTAACTCAAACAGGCTTTCTTTTTGACATTGATGAAAAGTTGAAAATTAAGTCACTAAGGGGACGTCCGATAAAATTAGAAATTTTCGGCTGTGATAGTTATCTGTGTTTCTCATCAGATAGTGATCCTTCTAATTTCTCAGGTAAATTTATTAAGTGCCCTATCTTATTTTGCCTGTTTCCCGTTAGGTTTTGGGTCACCAAGTTTTGGAATCGGAGCAGTATCCTCTGATTGTGAGTACCTGGCCCTTCCTTGAGGCGGTCAGAGCTGCATGGAGGTCGGTTGATGGTGGGTCTTCAGCTGTGGATGCTGTCGTAGATGGTTGCTCGGTTTGTGAGGAACTAAGGTGTGATGGAACTGGTGAGTTTATTTCGTTAGTTATTTTGAGACTAGGGTGAGAACCTTAATCGAAAAGGGGTTGATTGAAGAGGAATTGAACTTAGATTGTTTAAATAGAAGCATTTTTTTTCTTAATAGGTTTGAACTTGAATGTGTGGTCGGTTCAATATAAGGTAGCCTGTCGTTGAAAATTAAGTCTTTAAATGGGTTGCTACTACGATACTAATTCCTTCCTTCAATCAAAAGTATGTTGAAATAATTGTATAGTTGCTTCTCCTTTTTATGCTTTTGGAGCATTTTAAAATTATTTTACGTTTTATTGAGTGCTTCAATGGGATAGTAATAGTCAAAGTAGTCAAAGTTACATAATCGCTCTTGTACAGAACGCATGCTTAAGATACTTCTGTTAAAATGCATCCAAAATTTCTTGCAAAGAGGTAAAATTGAATAACTTTGTGGTTAAATTGTGAAATTTTTAATAACATTTACTTGATAGGAAAAAAATGAGAGAAATGGCTTCCGCTCTTTAAAATTGTGTCTCCACTCTTGACTTTGGAAGAAAGTGAACCCTTGCAGCATTTTGGTGCTGTTTTTGTTCTGTTACATCACTTTCATTGTTTAAATATTTGTTTTTCTTCGTCATGCCAAGTACACTAAGGCTTGCTTGGATTTGTTATTACCTTCTTGACAGTGGGTCCTGGTGGAAGCCCAGATGAGAATGGTGAAACTACAATCGATGCTATGGTCATGGATGGGGTAACTGCCGATTACCATTTACTTCTCCTCCTGCATCCTTTATTTATGCATTGTTCTTTTGTATGGAAATGCATAGTTGACTATGGAAGTAGGAGCAGTTGCTGCCATGAGATATGTCAAGGATGGAATCAAGGCTGCTAAATTAGTGATGCAATACACCGAACACACTTTGCTTGCAGGAGAAAAAGCCTCAGAATTTGCCATTTCAATGGGACTTCCAGGACCTACAAACCTTAGTTCAACAGAATCTATAAATAAGTGGGCCAAATGGAGAGATAATAAATGTCAACCAAATTTTAGGAAAAACGTTCTACCTATAAATAGTTGTGGTCCATATCATCCTACAAACTCTTTGGAGCTTCCTGAGGATATATGCTCCAATACTGCTCATATGCAAGATATTAATTCATTATTACCTCGAGCTGGTCTTCACAGCCATGACACCATATCAATGGCTGCTATTGATGAGGTAAGATTATCACATTCTTTTTCTAATTTTTATTTACATGAAATAATCGATGCAAATGATCCTTATGTGTGGTGTAGATGGGGCGTGTTGCTGTCGGAACATCAACCAATGGGGCAACCTTCAAGATTCCTGGAAGGTACGTTTACCATATGGATGCTATTATCATAATAAATATACGAGTGCAATTCAATTCGATAAACTATTTTGTTGTCATATAGTGGAATTGATTTAGGATTTCCTATCCTTCAGAACTCCCTCTTTTCTTTAACGCTAACAAAAGGCCTTCTCAGCTATCTTGTTTCTCTTTTTATTTCCAAGCCATTTGTAGTTTCCTTTGGTACCACTTAAGCAGGATAATATTAGTTTGCTATTATTGTCTTCGTATTTGTACATGTTATTCTAAAGGACCTTCCATAAATCAGAATTGCAGCTTGTAGTGAGATTATAACATGTCACACTTAGCTTCATTAGTGTGAAATTATAAAACTGCAGAATGATTTATGCATATCTTAATTTCTGCAATTATGTATTATCCATGAGTTACGTCCTATTACTATTGCATTCACCCTAGATCAACTAACCTGCTTTAGATGCTAGTCCAAAACATTCATTTTTTTGCTCTACTTAATTGAACTCCTGCATTCGAGAGCTTTTCTCATGTCTTTGTGTTCGTGTTGGAATTATTTCCTGTCGTATAAAAATGCAGTGGGGAACACCATCTTAGAATAGTTACTTAAGCTCATTTGTCTTCAAATAGAAAGGGGAATGACAGGAGATAGATGCATTATGTAAGAATGTTGTATGCAAATACATACGCGTGTGTGTAAAGTACCATGTATTTTCCTTGCTGAATTCACTATTTGCTGTTATATCAGTTCATTCCTGAAATCACCATGTTAACTCTGTAAACCATGCTTGCTTAATTATGTAAAACTTCTAATATTAACACTTCTTTTCTTTGATCCTCCTTTTTTTTTTTTTTTTCTTTTTTGTTGAATGTCTTTAATGATTTATAAACGTCTACTTTTACAGAATGCTTTCCATTTGGGCCCTAGGATATCATTTTCTTAAATGCTCAAATGCTCGTGCAGAGTGATATATTACCATTTGTGTAAATGGAGATTATGTCGATCACTCAAAATGTTGCTCCAGAAGTTTCCAATATAGTATTTTGAAAATTCTCTTTGACTGCAGGGTGGGGGACGGTCCTATTGTTGGATCCTCAGCATATGCTGACAATGAAGTCGGTGCATGTTGCGCAACTGGGGATGGTGATATCATGATGCGCTTCCTTCCATGGTAGCATCGAAATTTATAGTTTCTTTTATGTTTAAGAGATGCTTTGAATCTTGGTCGGTGGAACTTTCTGACTTGATATGTCCAAGACCTACAACTATAACAAGAAGCCAACATTTCGTTTTCAGAATTTTAAAAGGTGGGGTTCTGGTAAGAGAATGTGCTGGACTTGATGAAAATGAAAAATAGGTATATGAAGATACTAATGTGTTGCTTATTCAAATTGGTTGACACCAAAATATGCAGCAATGCATGCAAATATATTTATGTACCTGATGATTAATGCCTTGTTTGGGAATGTTGGAGCTTTTGGCTATAGTCCTTTTTGACCCTTTTTGTTGAGCAAATTCCATGTGTCTTGTGGATGCTTTTTGACCCTACTACGGTTGTGAAATGGATTAAATCTTGTATTTCTTCTAGGAACATGCTGCTATAAGGATACACCAATTCTTTATCATTCTGTAATTTCAAGCTTTTAGATGTCAAGTAGTGTTGGATCCACTTTTATCCACATCTTGACATTTGCTTCTAATTAATTTCAGTTATCAAGTTGTGGAAAGTATGAGGCTGGGAATGGAGCCTAAGCATGCGGCTCAGGATGCAATAGCACGGATAGCGAGAAGATTCCCTGGCTTTGTGGGAGCCGTTGTTGCCGTAAACAAGAATGGGGAGCATTCTGGTGCCTGTCATGGATGGACATTTAGGTACTCGGTAAGAAGCTCAGCAATGAAAGACGTGGAAGTCTTTACTGTGCTACCCTAGGCTCTTTCGTGGAATTGGATCTTCCAGCAATTGAACCGTACTTAGCGTCTTATTTGTGTTGTTTTGGAAAATTTGTTGGCATGTTATAATTTGACCACAGTGCACGCCTTTTAGAGGATTAAAATTGTAAAATTGCATGTTGTGAGGAGAACTCTTTTTGCAAGGGCCTAAAGTTTCGACTTCATAAAAACTATTTTTGGTGATACCAACTTTCCAAAAGTTAAGCCCCCATGATTCTCGATCAAGTCAGAAAGACCCCAGGAGTATAGCTTTTTGTTAAAAGTTCCCATCCATTGAGGCAGTTGGCTGGCTGTGCAGAATATAAAAATTGGGGAATATCATATTGTGGGCAGACATCTATATGTTCCCTTTAATATCACATATTAACAAAATGAACAATTTTCTCCATTTTCAACCCTCACTCTTTAATTTAAAAATACCAATATAGTGTTGTCAGAAATTCATTTGTAGTCCCTCCATTTGGACATTACCAGTTTCTCTGGAAATTTCATTTGCTATAACTAGAAAATTCGTCAGATAAAATAATGGTATTTTCATTTCAGAATAGTTGGAACAATAAAAATAGGATGAGGCATCGGAAATAATGAATGTGAACTTTCAAAAAACTCTGACTTTTTGGTTCCCTTTAAAGACTTGTAAAGAGTATTTGCTAATTATTATAAAGTACTATTAATTATACAAATTAAAAAGAAAGGACTAAGATCTTTATTGAAATGAATGAATTAAAATTTGTTTGAGTTTTCAAGTTTTTGGCTTTAATTTTTTAATACTCATATATAAATGGGTGACTATGGAAAAAAATTAAAGCTATGTACTTAAAAAAAGTTAAAAAGATCTCCACTAATGAGTGACTGTGGTATTCTTAATGCTCCTTTTCTCAGTATCTAATCTCCACCTTCAGATTAGAAATAAGTAATGATTTAGATTTAATATTTTATCAAATTATTATTGTAACAGTTTATAAATTAGTTTTTAATTTTGTCTGTGTTGCAGTTATGAATTGTCTAGATTAGATTTTAACAATTCAAATTTATTTATGGAATAATATGCTCAAATACCCCAAAAATATCCACAAAAGAGCATTCAGTTTCTGGAATTTTTTTAGCTTACATGCCCTAAAAGCTGTTAAATTAATTAATTTATATGGTATCTTTAACAGCTAAACTTAATGGTGGATAATGATTTCGGACATAAATGCTATAAAATAAAACTTTTAGGACATATAAAAGCAAAAAAAAAAAAAAAAAAACCTTTCACATGATGGGTAATCTTTCATGTATACTTTTAGGATATTTAAACAACTTATTCCTTTATTTATTTATGTTCATCATGATAATTTTATAAAAATATGAGATTTTAAGAAGAAAAAAACAAAGAAGAAATTGATAGATTGTAAACCTGATAAATACATCAAGCTAAAAATAACCTGATAAATATATACAGCATCATACATAAGTATTAAAAATTATTAAAATATAAAATTGAAATATGACTGCAAGATGGGAGAATCCGAAAGAAAAAAGGAGTTTGAAATTACTAAATCCCAAATAAAAAATTTCTGTGAAAATGTGTTGTTATTTGTAAATAAAGTATTGTCAAAACTTTTACCAAACCTAATTTAAAATTTAGTAATTTTAAAATTCTTTTTGTGAAATTTTTCCTACAAAAATCAACTAAAAATTATTTAATTTAAACAAATAACCTTGATTTTTTTTTTTTGAAAGTTATAGAATTAACGGTCGTCAATTATAATTTAATGTTTTCATAGGCTCGTCAATCGTCATTGTTGTTCAATATTATTTCTTCCACGATAATCCAACGAATCTACGCGTTGGAATTTCCACTCAATTTAATTATTATTATACTATTTTTGGTCCTTAATATAAGAATTAGTTGACTAATTTGAGTAGATTAATAAAGCTAATTAATCTAGTTATTTGTAATAAATAGGTGTTATCTTTCCTAAAATATCTTTGCTAATCAAGTATATTAGTTAAAACTGTCTTTATTACAAGGACAACTTGAAAAAAAAAAGAAGATAAATATGAGAAATAAAGTATATTATGGTTTTATATTTAAAACCAAAATAAAAATTAAATGAGTTCTTATATTAAAGATCGAAGAAAGTATAAACTTAAATTATTTTGTTTCTTACGCACAGCTTCCACCAAGCTTCATCATCAGTCTTCCCTCAATCGCCATTTCTTTGCAGCATGTCTTCACCCGCAGAGCGCTCCCGCGCCCTCATGATCAAGTGTTCAGTAGGTGTGTGCACTTGAGTTTTCTGTTCTCAAGATTTTTGTTTTTTGTTAAAAAATATGAACTCGTTTGATTAATCCATTTTCTTTTGCGCAAGTGTTCTTGCTTTCCTCTTCATCAGAAATACCAAAATAATTGGACTTTTCGGCCACGATTGCCCTGGGAGTGGTTGATAATATTTTCTCCCCATGTGACGTGATGTATGTTATTTATTTGTTTCGACGTTATAAGTTTTCTTGAGTAAATTATGCAGCCACCTCCTTAGTTTTAGGGAAATTACACATAGGTTTCAAGAAAGACAAATTAATACTACAAGCTCCCTTAAAATCTCAAAATAAATAACAAGTCCCTTAAAATTCAAAATAAATAACAGGTTCCAAAATATATGGAGATAATAGATTCTAATTGTGAAATTATCTACTTACCCTCGTTAATTTGACTTTGGATATTTTCCCCAATTCAAATCCTTACGGCTTGTTTGGTATAAGTGACTTAGAAGGGAGGGAATATGTCATATCTTGTTAATTTTAACTAGAAAATTGAGAAAATTAGAATTGATCAAGGGTCAAGTAGTGTAGTAGAAATATAGACAGAATAACTTTTGAACTGAGATTAGATCAAGGACCAGACTGCTATTTTCAAAATATCCAGTCAATATCAATCAGAGTAGGAAGGAACACCTGGAATTCCTAAAAATTGTCAGAAAATCATTAAAAATAAAAATAAGGGGCAGGGAATGGTATTTGAAGCCTAAAGGATGAAGACAAAATAAAAATAATTTATTTTGGAATTTTCAATATTTTCTTGGAAATATGGCTAATTAAGGAAAAATTGGTCAAATCGAATTATTTAAAATACTTAGGGGACTCAATAATTCATAAAAAATTTAGAAAAATTCCTTGGAGAATTGTTATGAAGTTTAAAATTATTCTCGACCTCAAGAAGCTTAATTTTTATCCATAGAAGGGCAATTTCAGGAAAATTTTAATTTAAATGGTTAGAGGTGGAATTAAATTCTAAGCAAATTAGGAGAATCTCTCCTCATCAAAAGAAAGCTATTGGCGCAAAGAAATGAAGTTTTGAAAGTAGTGGATTTAACAGGATTCAAGAAATATTCAACCGATAACGGGAGATTATACAGTGTAATGAGTATGAGCTTGGTGAGACAAAATTTCTCACTAATTTTCTGATGAAATTGGCACCAAATAGAGAGGGGAATGACCTAATTGGAATAATCCAACTTGTTGAACAAACTTGGAAGAATGAATTATGGAATAAAAAATAGCAATTCTTTCAAATGTTAGATTAAGTGTCCTCGTGAGTTGGCACCTTGCATTTAATTAAGGGACACATAAAGGGGATTATGTGGCTAAATCATGAAGGAAGATGGACCAAAATATTGCCATGTGTTAAGAGTTAAAGCATATGGTAAATGAGATAGTTACCAAGAGGTAAAATCTAGCCATTCTATAAATATGATCACTCCTTTCATGAGACATTTTCGGCCAACTAAGAGAGAAAGGAAGGGAGAAAGTTTCGGCCATCAAGGGAGAAAGAAGAAGAAAAGAATATCAAACTAATCTTAGGCTAAATCAAGTGCCAAATCAAGGCAAAAGCTTGGATTTCTATTCTCGTTTAAGTTGTCTAGTAGTTTGATAGTTTAAAATGTAGTTTTGATGGAGTTTGCAGCATGAATTGTTTAGGGTTTGGTGCTGTCCAATTTGGTATATGTTGAGCTATGGATGATTTAAAGTTTGTTTATGGATTAGAAAGTAGAAAATGCCTAGCTTGTGGTGTTTAAACTTTATCTTAGAAAGAATTCCAACTTGTGAAACCAAGGTAGTATATTTGGCCAACTAGGGTTCATGGTGCTAGGGTTTGATTTTCGTTAATTTGATGCTTTAGGAGGTGAAATTATGTAGGAATATGTGAATAGCATGTGTTTGGAAGCATTAAAGTTGAAAATGAAATTTTTAGACTCTAAGTACCCCTATTCGGCTAAGAGAAGAAATGGTAAAAGGAATTGGATTTTGATAAATCTAAATTCATATTTGGACTCTACATGGAAAATCATGTAGGAAAAGCATGTGAAAGTTAAATTAAAAAGAATGTTTCTATCAATGTCCTCAGTGCCAAATCTTGATCCAATCCTCACGGCCTTTATCTTTTGTGTGGACATAGTCACTTAGGAGAAGCAAGGAACGATAGCGCAAATAGAATAACAGAATTTCAAGAAACCCATTATCTTTTGCTTCCTTTGAAATCTCTTATACTATGCATTCCTCCATCACCACTCACTATCATCTCTCTGAGGTTCAATTTCTCTAAATTTTCCTCACTATCGATTTAGCTGCTATCATCTTTTTCTGATAATTTCTTTGATAAATAATGTATTTTGAATATAATATCACTTGAAGTGGAACGATATAGTATCAGTTGAGTATGTGATTATTTCTTTTTGTGCTTTCTTTCTTCCTTGATATAATTATTTGTATAGGATCCTAAATTACGTTGGAAAAATGATTTAGAGTATCTACTGTTGTAAGCTACTTTGCATCTCCATTATCTTTGATGATCATGAAGAAAGTTGAGTTGAATTTGTCTTGATTAAATTGCTATGGTTGTTTAATAAAGACAACTGTATCCTTCCAAAAATAAATAACCTCTTTTTCTGATCATTTCTTTGATATGCTTGCTTAATCAGTGCTCCCCGACCCTCTATTTTATGTTATGTTGTAGTTTCGAGTTGGATTGGCTCAAGGTCTATGCATTAGTTGTAGCCTTGTAGCAATGGTTGAGCATCAACCAACTTGCCATATATCGTGCTGCATCTCAAATCTCAATCAATGTTGAGATCAAGATTTGGTAGATTGCCCATCATTCAAGTGGAGCAATACCTAATAGAATTTTTGTTTTTGTTTTTTAGTTTATCATGGATATTCAT